ATTTCAAACTATCGTATGCCCTATCTTACCTCCTTGTACATTCCAGTTAATAAAACCAATAACTTCCTGCATATCAACTGCGATTACATCAATGGTCTTTTTCATGTAGGAGTACAACAATAGAAGGGTTAAAACCCCCATGTACTATAAATTATCATATGTCCAACCCAGCATCTTCCCTCCATTATTATGCCTTTTTATCTACTAACCAAAGTACATGTTCCATCTTCCTTTCTGTCAATCTTCTGTCATTAATACTTGGATTAAGACTGTACTCTGAAACTAACCTAAACAAATTTGCATGAAGAAATCCCTTCTTCTCTTTCATATTTGTAATAACAGATAAAGAATTAATACTCTCTACCTCTCCTTTTCTGTACAAGAAACTTCTCCACCCTCAACTTTACTGAAGGAAATAGTCTACATATAATATTTCTTCAAAATAGCTCCTCTATTACATTTCCTCTGTGCTATCTCAATCTCCATTCAAAGCTTTTCTATCCTGCCTTCATTGTATAACGCTTGCAATTCAAGACTATACCATATCTTACTCTTCTTTCTACATTCAACAGTTCACAAAACAAATACCTTACTACAGCTCGATTGCATTGTAACTCATTTACATTTGGATTAAGGCAGTGTTCTGAAACTGCTGCAAGTAAAATTGCATTGAGAAACTACTTCTCTTTTAACATTTGCAACATCACAGCAAAAAAAAAAAAAAAAAAAAAAAAAAAAATCACTTTATAAATATTCCTTCCAAGTTGCTTCTACAGTGTAAATACAATTCCTCTGTGCTATCTCCATCTCAATTAAAACGCGATATGGATGCACGCGATATCGGCGATCGATACCACCGATATCCTTTTTTTGTTATATATATATATTTTTTTTTTTATTTTTTTTTTTAAATTTGAAGTTTACAGTTTAATGTGCACTGACAATTGTTTTTGTTTATTGTTGTTGTTGATTTCTTGATAAGTTAAAAATCATGCGTCCGGTAAAAAAATCATGAGTCCGGTAAAAAAAAATTACCGGACGCATGATTTTGCCATTTATCCGGTAAATCTGTAAAATAACAACATTTTGTATTTTTGACAATTTTTGGGGCCCCATCTTATAAAACAGATGATGCACAGGTTTAATTCGTGGGTCGGTGGAATTGTGTGCACGCGGTACCTTTGAATTTGGTCTAAAACCATTCAAAGGTACCTTGTGCACACAATCCCTACCGACGTACTCAAACCTGTGCATCATTTGTATACTGACGTATAACAATTACTATTTGGTCCTTAACGTCTAGGCTTTCGCGCTTCGCGCGGGAGGGGGGAAACTGAATTCAGACAAGGATTAAGAGTCGAGAACGGTACAAGAAATCGTCTACTTTCTCTAATAATTTGATGAATCGTCAAAGATCCGGGCTCCGCGCGGGAGGGGGAAAACTGAATTCAGACTAGGATTAAGAGTCGAGTACGGTACAAGAAATCGTCTTCTTTCTTCAGTAATTAAGGAAACGTCTAGGCTTTCACGCTTTGCGCTGGAGGGGGGAACTGAATACAGACAAGGATTGAGAGTCGAGAACGGTACAACAAATCGTCTTCTTACTCTAATATTTAAGGAAACGTCTAGGCTTTCGCGCTTCGCGCGGGAGGGGGAAACTGAATTCAGATAAAGATTAAGAGTCGAGAACAGTAAAACGAATCGTCTGCTCTCTCTAATAATTAAGGAAACGTCAAAGCTTCTGCGCTTCGCGCGAGAGAGGGATTTCAGACAATTAGGGCTTATTAAGAGTCGAGAACGGTATAACGAATCGTCTTCTTTTTCTAATAATTAAGGAAATGTCTAGGCTTTCGCGCTTCGCGCGGGAGGGGAAGTCAGACAAGGATTAAGAGTCGAGAACGGTACAACAAATCGTCTACTTTCTCTAATAATTTGATGAAATGCAAAGCTTCCGTGCTTCGCGCGTGAGGGGGAAAACTGAATTAAGAGTCGAGTACGTTATAACAATTCGTCTTCTTTCTTTAATAGTTAAGGAAACGTCTAGGCTTTCGCGCTTTGCGCTGGAGGGGGAACTGAATTAAGACAAGGATTACGAGTCGAGTACGTTATAACGAATCGTTTTCTTCCTTTATAATTTAAGGAAACGTCTAAGCTGCCGCGCTTCGCGCGGAATGGGGAAACTGAATTCAGACAATGATTAAGAGCCGACAGAGAACGGTACAACAAATCGTCTTCTTTTCCCAATAATTTAATAAAACGTCTATTCACTCACCCCTTTAAGTGATTCGCTTGCTCACTACCGCCCCTCCCTAAAATAAGATCCTAGCTACGCGCCTGAAATATATAGCTATGATGCTGACTAAGTTAACGATTTAATTCGTATATTTATGTCGTCGAGGAAAATGACCATTTGCGCATACGCATGTACTATAGATAGTTCATAGGAAAAACAATTAAGCCTCTGGCCCCGGGTTTATAGAGTTAAATTTGTAGATATTGG